CCAGAGGTCTCCGTCTCTCTCTCTCTCTCTCTCTCTCTCTCTCTCTCTCTCTCTCTCTCTCTCTCCCATGTGAGGATGCAGAGAGAAGGCAGCCAGGAACAGGCTTTTGCCAGAAACCCTCAAGATGGGCCAGCATTTTGATCTTTGGACTTTCCAGCCTCCAGAACTGGGAGAAATGAATGCCTGTCATTTAAGGACCAAGTCTATGATATTTTGTTATGGCAGGTGAGGTAGATGAATATAGGTGGTAATGACTAGCTAATTAAAATGACAACGATCGCCCTAGCTGGTTTGGCTCAATGGATAGAGTGCCGGCCTGTGGACTGAAGGGTCCCAGGTTTGATTCCGGCCAAAGCCATATGCCTGGGTTGTGGGCTCAATTCCCACTAAGGGATGTGCAGGAAGCAGCCAATCAATGATTCTCTCTCACCATTGATGTTTCTATCTCTCTCTCTCTCCCTTTCCCTTCTGGTCTAAAATCAATAAAATATATTTAAGAAATGACAACCATCTACAGTTAACAGAGTACTATTACAAATTTTATCTCAGAGAAATGGTCAGAGATAGAAATAGCAAAGTATTATTTTACAAATTAGAGAAGGTTCGAGAGCACAAGGCTACCGAGTGGAATTCAGTCAGACTGTAAACCTGGGTCTTTAAAGGCAACTTTGGATGTGAATGGTTGTAGTTTTCTTGTTTTCAGCATTATTTTGTTGGATGTCTATGAATTCTGGGTTTTACATTTCCAGGCAATGCCCAGTTAAACAATGCCAAATTTATCACAAGCCATATATGTTGTTTTCTCTTTAGAACTGCAATAATTATCTCCTTTGATTCAGTGGGCTGAGGACTTAGAAATGAAAATTCTTGGGCCCCGCCCAAGGCCTACAGAACTGGAAACTGAGGCAGGGCCCAGCACTCTGTGCTCCAAAAGGCTGCCCAGGGGTTTCTGAGGCTGCTAACTTTTGAGAACCACTGCTTTCACCCATGTTCAGTTTCTTGTTCCCCTTATAACTGGCTGACATCTGACACTTTGCACTAAAGAATATGCTGCTGCAACGCTGAGTCCTATAACCAACCAGATCCACAGCATACTGTCAAACCCACTTCTGAACTACTTGAACTTGTAAGTATAGCCTTCATATAATCATCATATTCTATAATTCTGTGTTGGTCTTTGTTACCTCCCTTAACTCTACTCGGAATTTGAAAACATTTTAGAAAAAGCGCTATTTAGTTTCAGCATATTATAAACCTTGAATGAAATGGACTCTAATTAAAAATAATAATTTAAAACATAATGCATTTATTATTTATTCAAAGTGGTTAATGTTTTAATCCCAACTCTAAAATCTCAGTAACTTGGAAAAGGAAACTCATGTGTGCATGAAACCTATTTCTCAACAAGATCCACCCCTGCCAATCAGAGAGAATATTTAAATAAATAACAAAAATGATCCAAAATATATATTTAAAGTTTTTCTTTTAATATTTATTCTAGAAAGCAATAATTCATTAATTATATATATTACTGGAGGCCCGAGGCACGAATTCGTGCATGGGTGGGGTCCCTCAGCCTGGCTGGTGATCGGGGCCGATCCGGCCTCAGGAGGTTGGCTGTGAGAGCACACTGATCACCAGGGGGCAGCTCCTGCATTGAGTGTCTGCCCCCTAGTGGTTAGTACATGTCATAGCAATCAGTCAACTGGTCATTTGGTCATTTGGTTGCTTAGGCTTTTATATATAATTTATATAGAATAATTATATTTCTACATGTAATTACAATAAACAGTATATATATTTTATGTCAAATAGCTGGATCTTAGAGTCAATAAGATTTTAATCCAACATGTTTCCTTTGATTACCTTCCTAGACTTCGAGTTTAAAAGCTTTAGGGCCCAGCTGGTATGGCTCAGCGGTTGAGGATTGACCCATGAACCAGGAGGTCACAGTTCAATTCCAGTCAGGGCACATGCCCAGGTTGTGGGTCCCAAGTGTGGGATATGCAGGAGGCAGTCGATCAATGATATTTGACATTTCTATCTCTCTCTCTCCCTTCCTCTCTCTGAAATCAATAAAAAGATATTTAAAAATAATAAAAAAACCTTAAGGATTTTTTTGTGGAGAATATGGATTCTGATACCAGTATAAATATAAATGTGTGAAAACACTTTTATATTTAAATGACTGTGTGTGTGTGTGTGTGTGTGTGTGTGAGATTACATATTATGTCACCTATTATTTGAGGATATCAACACTAATCTAAGATTTTTGTGAAATGTTTTATATGCATCTCAAATAAACTTTCCCAATAAAATTTTACAAAGAAGCACAATATTACCATTTAACAATAAAACTTTAGACATTTTCAAAATTACTGTTCTTATGCAGAAATAACCTTTACCCCCTCGAAGGTGGGCAGCCGGGAGAACAAAATGCACATACCCTGTGCTGCTTCTGTTATTAATTTGCTTATATAAGCAAAACTGTGGGCTTTCTGTGGAAGTACCAGGCTTACACGGCTGATAAAATGGCACATAGCTTGCACAGCATTTGTAAAGTGACAGCTTCTGAAGGACAGATTTAATGAGATTAGTAGACTTCTGCCCATCACAGCCTCAAACTACTTTTTAAAATCTTTAGAATTTTGGCACCATTTACTGAAAAAGCTATTTGCAATTATATGAAGATTGACTAACATATTTCTAGCCTGTTTCTGAAAAGATAGGAAGAATAAATTGAACATTAAGATTCCTCTACAATAGTGTGTGTACATATACTATATATAAAATACATATTATATGTAATATATCAATACATAAAATAATATTGCATATAAATAACATATATATAATCTACAAGATGAAGCAATATTAAACATGCATTTTACACACATACCTTTAATGTTGATCTCTTAAACTCAGGAAGAATTTTTTTGTAGAATTATAAAGACTAATTAGACTGTTTTCCCAAATATTTTACTTACAGGTAGCAACACTGTCATTGGTCCGACCTGGGATTTACTCACAACATCAACATTAAACAAACTGCCCCAAAAGGAAGAACTACTCTTAGAGCCAACAGCAAACACCAATGCCAAGTCATATTCGTAATTACTCATCTTTTGGAACATGTTTGACATGAATGATTCAGCAAAGCTGGGTCCCTGCCAGCTGGTGCCAACAGGCACAATGGCACCGGAGGAAATGTGATAACCACAGAGGCAAACAATGACTGGACCAATAAAACTCCCCCTCCTTTGATTCAGGTATGGAAAGTGCTGTTTTCTGAAAAAGCAGTAAAGTAGGTCTCTCTCTCTCTCTCTCTCTCTCTCTCTCTCTCATTTTTTGAAGTTTCCTTAACAGTTAGTAAAATATGTTTGGGCACACCAACGTAAGTTTTATGGAAGGTACCATGAGATAAAGCCATGACTCCCATGGGCTTTCCACTCCGAAGATCTCCATGTACAATTTGATAGTTTTCAGAACCCCCAAATTCAGTTAAAAACAAAAAGAAGCTTTAGGGAGAGAAAAAAGAAAGAAAAGCAGCCTTGGGGTAGGATGAAACTAAAGAAATACAAAAAAGAGTAAGAATTTACCTGCCACATGATTAGGAAAGAAATTAAGTCAAAACTTTTTGTTTTAATAGAGAACGCATAGACATGTATATGCTCATCAGATGCTGAATGGCATCATTCACCACGTGGGGCCGGTCCTCGGATCAGAATGCCAGGCTGTGGGAGATGGAGATTGCGTGCCCCAAGTACTAATCCTGGCATAGTTCAAATGAGACCTAATAGCCCGGTGGAGCAATCAGGCTCCAGTCCCACTTACCTTATTAACAAAACTGACAATTTGGCACTAAGTAGAAATCCAGGGCCAAACACTCTCTGCCCCCGAAAATTATTCAGGAGCCAGAAAGTGAAGCTAAGGCAAGAAAAACTTGCAGGTTGTTTATGGAGGTTATTTGGCCAGTTTTCCCCAGAAGATCAATTCAGTTACCTCAGTTATCCCAGCTCTGACAAGCCAGTCTCTAAGTTAACTGTTTCTGGCTGCTATTTTCCGATGGTCATTTTTCTTTTTCAGAAATATACACAATTGCACCTTGAATGCAATCACCACGATGCAAAACAAATGCACAATTAGGAAATTGTCCAAATTCAACTTGCCTTCCTGTAGCTTGCTGTCTTTCTAACCTCTTCATCTGCTCAGATAGCTTTGAATTATTTATCTCCACCTGAGTTTACAGCACCCTCAGAATCAATGCCACTTATACATTAAGCGAATGTGCAGTTAGCTTGTCTCCCCGACAATTAACAAAGACGTTAAGGGCTGATGCCAATTCAGTGGCATAAGCTGGATACCTTCCATTATCTGGTGTGTCATTGTTTTTGGTCTATTAAGCAGTTTTCAATTTCACCTTATGGGCCCATATAAAACCCAAGCTAGATGTTTCTCAAATTATAGGCAGTATTACAGGTCTTAAATAGCTTCATTTTTGTTTTTTAAACATCATCTCTAAATTTACTGGAGACTAGCTGAGAAACTAAATTGGGTAATCTATCTATCTATCTATCTAGATAGACATATTTTAAACTTTTTAGTTTTTTTAAAGTCTTTTGTTGCCCTCTCCCTAAATCATATTCATTGTTTTACACTAAGGGTAGCATTTCTCATTTTCAAAAAAATATACTTTCTGATTCTTGCTTCAGTCTATTTTGCTAACCAAATTATCGTTGTTGTTTTGATTCATTTTTCAAAGGGGGCTTTTAATTTTCCAAAAGTTCTCTTTTCTTGTTCTGCTTTATTTTTTTACCATTCTTACACCCTGACATACAAAAGTCAGTGGATCAGAGGCATCATTGGGGGAAGCTTAGTAGCTCTCAAATCTATCTTGTTAGACAGGCCTCCTCGATTAGAGCAGGGCTGAATGCTCAAAGGCTTCAGTTGTCAAAACTCTACAGTGAAACAGTAGAAAATGTATGTAAGCATTCACTTACCTGCTTTTGATCAACAATTATCTCGAGGTCTTCATCACTGCTTAGTTTTCCATATCCTTTTTCTTTACTTTTCTTGTGAAAGAATAATTTTAAATGATCATTTAGTTTGTTTCCATTAATAATCTAAATCCCACTTAATACTTTTAAAAGATAAAGTTTACTTAGCCCTGGTCCCTAGTCATAATACATTATTCTTCATGTTAGTTTCTCATGGACAATAGCAAATGTTTTATTGTTAAGCTGTTGGTTTATAATTATTCATTAAGTATTTTTTGCTTAGCCTCTTCCATACAAATTACATCTTTATTCTTCTCTGAATATTGTTATGCTTCTTTTTTTATTCTGTAGTTTTGGAAAAGATTCTTTAATACTTTAATATAAGTAATTCCTTTAAGAGTCTGGAGCACATTTTTCTTAAAGGTCAAAACTGCAGTTAGTAATACTAGGCTTAAGACTTCAACTATTAAATGTTTTATTTTAATCCCTTATATATTTTTAAGAATAAGACCAGTATCCTGCAACTCAGATAACAAATCTTTAGATTTTACACATTTGCTTATAAATCAGATAAAAACTAACATTGTAAAAACAACTCAGAAATAATTTTAAAAAGATAAATAACTTTCAGAATTAGTTTGAAAAGTTAAGAAGAGTACAGACCATCTTTAAAAATGAATTTATTAGCATTTTATCATTTCTCCCCCAATGACCATTCTCCTTCTACCTACCCCATAGAAAAATTCTAACATCGGAAAAGGATATAGATCATGACAAACATTTTACTGTTGTGCTGATAGGAGAAAGATCATTTATTTGAGTCTTTTTTATTCTTTCTTGCAATGCCCTGCTGATGGGAATGCCAGAAATGACATATTTCTTCCTAATTTCAGAAATTAAAGACCTCTATAGAGGACCCGTAACAAAAGGGAAAAAAAAAAGAAATTGCTATACAGTTAGCTATATTTCAAAGTTATTATTTTTTAAAAAACAGTTCCTTCTTTAGGTATTAACTACATTGACTAGAATTAAGGGAATTGAAAATGCTTCTTATGTTTGCACCTACTGTACCATATTAGAATCCCCATCTCATTGGGGGAGGAAATGATATCCTTTATGAAACATGACATAAATCTCTTTACAGTATGGGACATGACTCTTGTCTTTCTCTCCCTCCCCCAATAACATTTCAAAACCAGATTTCCACATTTCCTCCTCAATAAATGTACCTACTATTTTTCTGGGTTGTGTGTGTGTGTGTGTGTGTTTTCATGTGTGTAATAAAGAGATTTCTGAATCTTCAAGTATTAGGATGCATAAATACAGTCTCATTCATATATTAATGAATTTGGCCACTTAGAGCAGAACAGATGGCCACAGTACTTCTCTCTATTGTTATTCTTGTCCTCATTTGAGGAACCATTTCAGGATTAATGGAAACAAAGAGAACAAGGGTGGTTTCAGCCAAGCTGACTTCCTTCCTATCACTTGGCTTTTACATCCTTTTAGTCCCCTGGTTGCCATAGGATATTGTCCAGGGACCCTCTAATGCAAAACGTTTAGAAATGCTTTTCCAAATATTGATCTGTATACGTACCAAGTAGCTCATTTGCATGACTCGATTTCTGGACAAAAGGACAGTAAGTAGAGATGAAATGTGGGTCCTTCCATCCATGTCACTGCCAGACATCCCAGAATTCTTTGCACAAGAGGCAGTGGCTTCATTGCCAGAACTTGCTGAGCAGAGAACCACAGATCTTGCCCAGCAATAGTATTTATAATGTATGGCAATAATGGAAGTATCCCTGAATCATTGCCTTGTCTTTGTAAACATTGTGAAAATTTAGGCTAGCACAAAGTCATTGAAACAAAAATTTCTTCTTTTCTAACTAATTTTTATCCAAGCACAATGTTCTCTGCTGTTCTAGTTAATGCTTTTTAAAAAAACAAACCTATTATTAATTATATGCATTTTTATATCTCATCCCACACATAAGGACTACGCAGCCTCTTTGTCCTAAAAGCTCTCAGCTTTCCCTTTTTAATGCCCTACCCCAGTCTTCCTTGTGATTAGCAAATCAGTGCTAATTGATATAAAAATACCCGAATTCATAGAACATAATTCAAAGTTGCAGTTTCTGCCAATACCAGCATCCCACCTTTCCAATTTAATCCCAACTGTTTATCTGATATAATAGTACATTTTCCTGGCGAGAGGCAGGGTCAGGAAAGGAGAGTATTGCCCCAACTACTGAAAGCAGAAGTTGGCATTTTCCAAAAGTGGGAGGAGGAACTTAGAGCTCTGATTCTGTATTTAAACCTCCAGTCTCCAAACAGCACACAACTGTACGCAGTCAGATTTCTTACAGTTTTACTCTAGAGTTAAGCAATATTTCCCAGTTCACCCCATAACCCCAGGGGGATTAAGCCTTTTCTACACCAGGATGGTTATTCCCTCACTTACTGCTTATTTCTAGTGGGAGCACAATCCTCTTTCAAGCACTCAGCTCCCACTTTGCCTGCTTAGATGAGCCAGCCCAGGCAGGGATCTTCAGCTCGCCTCCCTCCTCCCAGCCGGGAGTCCCTGTCTTCTATCTAAGCACTTTTGCCGAGCACAGAAAGCAACTCCTTCATCGCTTTCTGCGTGGTCTCTCCCATCAGCCAAAGGACTGAACTAGAAGGAGAAAGACAGCTGACCTCTCCACTCTCCAAGCCTGAGAGCCTGAGGAGGCAGGGCTTCTGTGGGAGGAGAAGCCGGAGGGCAATCACTTCCTGTGCTCCTCCCACCTCCCCTGGCCACTGAGGCAGTGAGGGAAGGCCCCTTTTCCCCTCAGCCTCAGCAGGCTGCCTGCCAGCGATTTTGTGCACTGCTCACCTAAGTGCAGTTCAGGAGGGCGTGTTAGTGCAGTGGAGCTAAAACAGGGAAGACTTTGAGATGGGAAGAGTGAGGAAAGACACAAGGGAAATAACTCATCATTTGCCGACAATGCCTCATTCCCTGTAAGAAGCTTTTAGCTGGAGATCAGGGTCCCATCTCTGAAAGGCCAAGCATCGTTATCTCCCATCTTCCCCACACCATTCTAAATCCTTTCTGAGTAACTGCAAGGAGGGCTATCTAGTTCCTTCTTGGTGCTAATAACTTTCTTAATAGCCCTGAAGCACATCTGTGGTTTTCTTAAGGACACTGACCCTGGCTCCCCTCTCTGCAGACATTCCACCATCTCTCCTTAGCCCTGTTTACCTTTTGCTTCCCACCCCTTCGTTCTCTCCTCCACAAAAGTAGAACAGAACGCTAGGTTTATTCACTTAAATAAACCATAAAACTTGGAAACTGCATAGGAAGACAATATATGGCCGCAGATATAGAATGCATTACATCAGAAAATTTTGCAAGTAACAACAAAACAACGAGATAATTTGGTGGGATAGAGACCTGAAATATGAAGCACCCTATGTTCAATTTTTAGAATAGGGTTTTATTAAAAAGTAACAGTATTAATTGAAAGATACTACTTGTGTCTGGGTTGAATTAAAAGGATTCTTCATACTTATTAGGAATGGAATATATGAAGGAAATTTTGAAAGGAAAAAGGAACACATGATTTAGTTAATTGTACAAATTTGCCTCAACTGCAATTTTTGCCTACCTACAGATGTCAACATAAATGTCAAGGTTAAAGATCACATGTAAATGTTAAATTTTTTTTTACTATCATTTATTCAATACTGCAATGAATGATAAATAGGCCCAATTTATTAAAGCAAATGTTACATAGGAACTATGTACACAGAAGTACAGAGACCTTCCCACTCTCTTCTTCCTGGTTCTCTGTACTCAGTTGCTATCTTCTCATTTCCCCTCTCTTTAATCCCTTCTCCACCACCTTCCTACCTGCAGGCTGCAAAATTGTTTATTTTTCCCTGTCCTGAAAGATGACTTCCTCACATCTGCTTTCCCCTAAAGCAGGGTTTTCAACCCTTTTCATCTCATGACACACATAAACTACTTACTAAAATTCTGCGGCACACCAACAAAATATATTTTTGATGATCTGACAAAAAAATAAGATATGATTTTGATTCATTTACACCAGATGGCTATTGTTGTGTTGGCTGTTGTCATTTTTTAATTGACAATCTAAGAGAAAAGAGGTCAGTGACTCTGACTGAATAGTCAGGTGTTGCACATTTTAAAAATTCTTGTGGCATAAAAGGGGGAAGAATGGGGGAAACCTGTGATAATATCAACAATTAAAAAAAATATTCTGGAGACACACCAGTGTGCCTGCCACTGTGGAAAATCGCTGCCCTAAAGTCATTCCTTTACTCTCTCTTACCTCTTCACTGTCAAACTTGAAAGAGTGGTCCTTTCTTACTAGCAACAGCTCTTTTCTCCTCAATTCTACACCAATCACAACCAGGTTGCAATTGACTGTAATTGCATTCTTGACAATCACCAATGGATTCCTATTTATCAAATTCTTTAGCAGCCCCCTTTTTAGAGCTAATTGTATGAAGTAGCCCCAAATGCAATTTGTGACTGACCACAGATGTCAAAATAAATGCAATCATTATTTCTTTTAGTGGTCAAGTTTGTGTGAAGTATTTTAAAAAACATCTTTGCTGTTATTTACACTATTAGAGCTATTAAATGGTGTATTTGCTGAATAGACTAGTGTCAGTGAGAGGGAGGAGGAATTGGGAAAGGAGATGATATGCTGAGTTTGTGGTGTCTTTAGAAAGTTCATCCACATGGAAAGATCCAGTCGACCAATTGGAAATACAGGTCTACCTCTTAGAAGAGAGAGATAAGGTAGGACACATGGGTTGCTGGGAATAATCAAAATTACAGACATGGACCAACTCATTAAAGAAGAAAAAAGAGTCAAAGAGATGAGGATTAAGGCCAGAGTCCTGGAGAATGTTAAATGTAAAGAAGGGGCCAAAGAAAAGCCAGTGAGGGAGGCTGAGTAGGAGTGGTGAAAGGTAGGAGATCCTGGAGAATGCAGCCAAAGGAAAAAAGAATTGTGGATAGTGTTGATTTGGGTTGTTTTCCCGAGCAGGATGCAAGGGTGATTTCTTTCCTGGATGGATTCGAAGAATGAAGCCATGGACAAAAGGTGATAGGTGAAAAGGACGGAAATTTATTGGAAGCAAATACAGACTCCCATGTAGGGAAGGGGTTGCAAGGGGGTAACCCACCAAACTCCTTTTTTTCTAAGGCTTATAAAGGCTGTAGTTCTTTGTCCCTTCCTGCCCCCTTCTAGTTGGGTCCCTTCCTCACTTTATGATCCTATGCTCTTCTAATTGGTCACTCTTTTTGCAGAATATCAGCTTCAAAACCAATGTAGTGCCTCCCCTCTATCTCTCCCCCTTACTTGTAACATTTCTCTATCTCCTGTGAGAATCTGTTTTCCTCTTTCTGCCATTGGCCGACATTTCTCTATCCTCTGTGAAAGTTTCATTTCCCCCCATACTCTGTGGTGCTTCTTTATCTACTGTGAATGTCTTCCTCTCCTCTTCTCCTATGGCACATTTTTATTTTCTGTGAATGTATGCCTTCTGGGAGCTTTAAGCCCTCACCTATGCCTTCCTTCCCCATGGACCCTCTTTATGACTAAAACCCCCCAAACCTGCCTATTTTATTCCTAAAATTCCTTTCAGTGTCAAATGCTGATGAAAGGGTAAGTAAGGATTATATTTGGTGTTTTGGAAGTCTTCAAGAACTAGGAACAGGAGAATTCATAAGGGTGGAACCAAGATTAGAGTAAATTAATGAATACAGTGGCAGTAAGGGAGTAAGATAGTGAGAGAGGACTTAGCTACCATAGGAAAGCTTGAATAAAAAGAGGGAAAATTTGTTAAGATGGTAGATCTCAGGGTAAGTGCTCTTTCCACAGTTAAAAAAAAGGGAGGGGGGGAGAAGGAGCAAGAATGATAGTGGAAAGACAAATAATATAGTATCACATGACCTCACTCATATTTGGAATCTAATGAACAGAAAAAACTGATGAACAAAATAGATCCAGAGACATAGAAGCATGGAACAGACTGTCGAACCTCAAAGGGAAGGCGGAGGTGGTTGGGTGGACAGGAAGAGATTACCAAAGAACTTGTATGCACATGTGCATAACCCATGGACACAGACAATAGGGTGGTCTGGCTCAGGTGTGGGCTAGAAGGGGTCAATTGGGGGGAAAGGAGGACGTCTGTAATATTTTCAACAATAAAGATAAGAGTAAATACATAAATAAGTGGGGAAAATAAGTTTTCCTCACTTCCACATTATAAAAAAAATACAGGGAAAAATTGCTGTAAAAGTTACTATAGTCCTCTGTCCCTTTATGTAAAGGTATTGAGTATGTTTATAGCTCAAGAATAAATTGGTAAAGTAGTGAAAATGTAGATACCAGAGGGTAAAGGGAGATAATTCATGAAGCAAGAAAGTAAGAACAACATCATGTAAGAGAAAAACTGCATGTCTCTCTTTGAAAATTTTCAATTATGTAATATATATTTATAGAACAAAAACCTAGAAGGATATATAGCAAATATTAAAGTCCTGTCCTCTGGGGGGTGGAATTATGCATGGTCTATGTGTTCTCTTTGTACCTGGGAGTACTCTTTGAAATAAGAATACATTTCTTTCATAATAAAAAAGTAAACAAAATGTGATTGCTAGAGAGATCCATAAAATTGCCATGGA